AGTGTGAAACTGCTAAAGAAATGTGGGAAGGATTACAAAAGGTGCATCAAAGAGTTATTCTCAGCAATAAACTGTATTTGTTTAGAAAGCTATACCAAACCAAGCTGATGAAAGGCCAGTGTATGCAGGGCGGACTGACCATTGGGCGGACTGACCATTCGAGCACTCAGGCACTGCCCAAGGGCCCTGGGTCAGTAGGGGGCTCCATGAGATGCCCCTGGTACCTTTTTCATAGGATTTTTTGAGTTTGGGCAAGGACACAGGGCCCCATGATCCCCTATTGCCCGGGGGGCCCCATGAGTTGTCAGTCCACCCCTGCTTAGTGGTTTAATAAAAAATTATGAAACGCTTGTCACAGCACTTGATACATGACCAGATTATGAACTGACATTGGAATATGTTAAGGGCACACTTATGGCTGAATATAAGTATAAAACAGAAAGCATTAATAGTGACGGTGCTTCTGTTGCAGAGTCTGCTTTAAAAATGGAAAAATAGGAATCAAAACAGTAACACGCAAAAAGAAACATGTGAATGCTTTGTGTGCAAGAAACAAGGCCATTTAAGAGCAGATTGTGGAATCTAGAAAGCTGGAATACAAAACCAAACTAAACTATAAAAGGCTAATTGTATGTAGGAAGAAACTGATTTTTCTTCAGATAACGATAATGTTTTTTAATCCAAAAGATGCACGTCATATTTTCAGGCATGGTGTGTTGATTCAGGGGCTACAAGTCACATAACAAATGACAGAAATAGGAGGCGGTTTTCTTTATTGTCCTATTTTCCAGAGCATCACCAGAAAGATACCAGTGAAAAAGCTCACAAAGCAAGGTAATGGAGTGACCTTCCAAGGTGACAGTTGTGCCATCACAAAAGGGGATATCTTAATTACAAAGGCTAAAATTACAGATGAACTGTATCAGCTGAACTGCAATGAGGTGATTAATACTGCCAAGGAGGAAAAACATTCAAACTGCATTCATACATGGCACAGACAACTCTGGCACAGACGTTCTGATATAATAAAGAAATTAACTGAGAATGAGTATGCAAGCGAAATAAAATTAGTCCATGTTATCAAACAATGAAATGCCCCAGCTGTATAAACGTAAAAATGACAAGAAAAGTATTGGCAGAGCTTAAAAAACCTCTGGACTTATTTCATTCAGATCTTTGCTGTCCAATGGAAAAGACCCCAGAAAAGAAAAGGTAATTTCTCACTTTTATATATGATCACTCCAGGTACAATACACTATATCTGTTACACATAAAAAGTGAAGTATCAAGGAAGTTTGAACAGTATTTGGCTGTAACAAATAACAAATTTGGCAAAATGCAGAGTGCATTGCACACAGACAATGGAACTGAATATACAGGTAATAGCACACAGTTGATTATCAGAAAGCATAGCATAATATTTCAAACTACTGTACCATACAACCCAGAGACAAAATGGGGTTGCAGAAAGAATGAACCGTACTCTACGTGAGAGTGGAAGAACCATGCCATTTGATATAGCTATGCCAACCACATACTGGGGGGGAAACAATTGTGACCGCATGCTATCTCCAAAATCGACTACAAAGAAAATTAACTGAGATAACTCCATATGAACTGTTGAATTGAAAAGCTCCAAAATTTAACCATGTAAACATTTTTTGAAACAAAGCTTATGTGTACAGCCCAAAAGAAAAACATACAAAATGGGATGCTTGCACAAAGTAAGGTGTACTTGTGGGGTACAGTGAATCTCAAAAGGGTTACAGAATTCTACACCAAGAGACAAACGAGGTAACCATCAGTAGAAGTGTATTTGTCGATAAAACTTCAGTGTGTTCAAAACTTCATAAACTAACACAAACACTTCAAACTGAGGGAAATTCCACATCAGTATCACATGAAGTGACACAGAAATAGAAATGAATGCAGACAATTCAAATACTGTAAAAGAAGAAACCAGGCCACAAGAGGCTTCAATCAGGAAATCCACCAGAAGCAATAAAGGCATCCCAGTCACGTCTGTCCTATGTTGCTCATGTAGCATTAAAACCAGAGCCAGATTTATAGGATGAGATGCAAAGACTCATGAGGAACAAAAGTGGACCAGAGCTGCTGATAAAGAGTTGACACCTCATAGTGAACTTAAACAGATTTATAGAACTGAGATCCAAAATGGGACTAATATAAGGAGTAGTTGTTGAGTGGAGGTGTTGGAATACAGTGTTCATGTATTTTGTTCATCAACTACATTAGTATTCAGTAGAGATGTATTCTTCAACCAGTAGATGGCAGTGTTTATAAGTTTGTAGCAGCATCCATGGTAAACTTTATGTCTTTTCTCTAAATAAAGTTTCCTGTTTCCTTGTTGCAGTGAAGCAGAAAAGCACACATGGACTGTGCACTGTCTGTTCTGTAGGGCTATATACAGAATTTCTAACAATAAAAGACTGGCGTTCAGCTGTAGCAAAGGGAAAAGTAAGCCAATGGACCCTTTAATTACAAAATAACCTTTTCAGGACTCTGTTGCAGTTGGTGAGTGCGCTGATAGTGTAGGTGGCCACATTTTTTAGCCATCTGTGCTTGCATGTCTGGATATAGAGCATTATTTATAGACTTAGATTGTACCCACGCATGAGTGTGTGTATGGGTATAGAGTATTATTTATGGACTTAGACAGTACTTAGCTAATTAGCTATTTATACAATTTTCTCAGTGCTTCGCTTCATTATCAGATTAATTATTTATGCTAATGAAAGTGCATGTGGTAGATTTGTATTTTCAACATGCATCTCCACATCATACCTAAAGAAGGCCATTTGTGTCAGTAAAAGCAACAGAAAAAGACGGATAATTTCTATAAGACAGGTGAAATGCAGAGCTTTGTCTTCTGACAGTTTTCCACAGCATGGACAGCAAATCTGGAGGACTTCTGAATCCCAAACATCTTACCAAAAGACCTTCTGAAGAGAATATCTCCAGATCAGCAGTAATAAGGTTCAGCAGATTTACAGAGCTGACCTCCAGCATACCACCTCACCTAATTAACCTTGGTAGAGTTCCCCTTTAATTTAGTCACAAGCAATTAAGTTCAATATTCATAATCAAGAACTCCAAACAAACAGCAGGTGATACTGGAAGAGATGGTTCTGGAATGTTAACCAAGTGAGCTGTGTGATGTTATTTACAACTTCAGTTTGATGAACCGGTGAAGAAGCTGTTTCTGAACAAAACACATATAAGTGGAGAGATCAGAAAGTGACAAGCATATTAGTCTCACAGCAGGTTTCTTTTATATCCCGCACTTCTGAATTTTAAGCAGCCTGGAAGACATAAAGCAATTTACAGCCTTTAATGTCTGAGCTTCATATTGTGCCTCACTGACATATCTGGCATTGTTCCATTCAGGAGAGATGATTGGAATACAGTATTCATTCATACATTCACTTCATTCATTCATTCATTCATTCATTCATTTAAGACAAGCACTATAGTTAATCCATAATACAGTCATTAGCATACATTCTTTAATTATTATCATAATTATTACAACATGGTCATATTTTGTGTGATGAAGGTACATGCAAAATTTTCAGAAGTCAGAATTACCTAACGAATGTTATTTTCTGTTAGTTAGTTAGTTAGTTGCAATTCTTGTTTCTGTTTTGATGTTCTCAGAAGGTGTTTTATGGATGTCTGAACTTGATGAAGTGATTGTAAAGGCTAAATAAAAAAATATAACAACCAGGTTTATATTTACCTGCTCTGTGTAATGGTTTAACACAGAGCAGCCCTGACCCTCCTCTTTTTGGGTCCCCCACTGGTACTCCTTGCTCTTCCACTTGGTGGAGCCACCATAGATAGCTGCTTCCTATTGTGGCACACCTGCGGGCTTGCTCCTGAGCCACGCTGCTTTTGTTTATAGACACAGACAGTGAGGCTTGGCCCCACCCCTCGCTTTCCTCACAGGGTATGATTGGCAGACACGGGAGCTACATATTTTGTGTCTTTCTTCATACTTACCTATTTTTTTTCTGTCTTTGTGCTGCTTGGTTCCCTGTTCCCATGCTATCATTTTAAAAATGTCTGTGATACTGCACATGCATGAGATGAAGTGTATTCAAACTGCTTCAAGTGGGTTGACTTGAATGGGAATGAAAAAGCTTGAAGCAAAAAAAAAGCCCCTTCACCACATGCCCTAAAGCCAGAGTCGCACACGATCTACATGTTGATCGCAGGAAGCCGACAGGTAGATCACGCTTAGGACTGTGCAGATCTGGGCCCCCAGCCTCCACTGCTCTCCTTTTAATAGCAGAGATGAGTGGCAAAACAGTGCTGGATGGAGGGTGGAAGCACGAGAGCCACTTTAGTTATCTTTGCAAGTTAACCAGCAGTTGATTGGTTGCTAGGTGGTCCGCTATGATGTACAGCTGGTGAAAAGTAGAGAGGTACCTCCAAAAAGTAGAAAAAAATATATAGCAGCAATAGTATTACTGGTATCCATCCTCACAATGTCAGTGTGGTCCTATGTTACCAAAAAAACAACATACAAAAAGGATTATGTGAACAAAGAAGTCCACTAGAAAAGCCGTTACTTTAAAGGAACCAATTCGATATACCAGATGTTTAATAGAAATACAGAACATTTATTATATAAAATTGATTGTACTTCTACAAAAAATGATAAGTTACACAAACACATCCATCACCACACCCCAGACAACGTTGTCTGTCTCCTTTAAAACGAATAAACATCACAAGTATGGCCACTAGTTAGGGATAGATGGCTAGAATGTGAATACTCCCTAATCCTACCATCTCCCAAAGTAATACCCTTGCGGGAGGAAGTTTATCACTCGTGTATAGCTCCCAATCATATGGAGCTCAATTGCATGCAACAGAGAGCAGCCTATCTCAATTGCCAGGAAAGCTACAGTCCATGTGGGTCTGCTTTGATCACAACAGTGATATCTTATTCATGGTAACGTACATGATTCTTTATCAGGCCCTGAAATTTCCACTCACCTGCTCGCCAATGGCGAGTAGACATTATGGTGGGGGCGAGTGTGTCCCCCAGGGCCGTCTTGCTGAGCAGGCTCGGAGCTTAGGCCGGCTCTGTCACTTGCACTGGGAGCCATCAGACTGCTCAATAGCTGAGCGCAGTGAAAGCAAAGGAAGGAGTGTGTGCTGTGCTCTCTGCCTCCCCCTACAGTGCAGTACCCAGCTCTGTGAGTGAACAACAAAGTACTGTAACTTTTTATAGGGCTGCTGTGTGTGTGTGTCTACCTAATTTCAGCTCACTCTGGTCACATAATCCTCTATGTCAGCCAGTGGTGGCTTCAGGGGAGAGGAGAGAGCACTTAACAGTGTGCGTGCGTGTGTGTCTGTGTGTGTCTGTGCATACATGTACATGTGTCTGTGTGTATATACATGTGTGTATCTGTACATTTATATGTGTGTGTACATGTGTCTGTGTGTGTGTGCATGTACATGTGTTTGTGTGTATGTACGTACATGTGTCTATGTGAACATGTGTCTGTGTATGTACTGTATGTACATGTGTCTGTGCACTTGTATTTCTGTGTATGTACATGTATCTGTGTGTATGCGTGTCTGTACGTGCCTGTGTTTGTATACATGTGTCTGTATGTGTATGTGTGTATGTACATGTCTGTGTGTGTGTGTGTACAGGTGTCTGTTTGTGTGGGTTTGTTGGTGGCGAGTAACTCTTAAGGCCTGGCTAGTAGCTCAGGACTTGAAATTTAAAGCCCTGCTTCATATGCTATGCATTTCAGCTCCAGAGGTCAGCTAGTAGCACCTACGGGTGGTGCAGCCATACGTGACATCACTGATGTTGTGTATGAGTATAACCTGCGCAGAGGACTGATCAATTAGACTGGCTGCTGCTAGAAAAATCACAAATGTGTACCAGTGAACAAATGTGTGAGTGCAAACATAAAAATTGCTGTGCTGCCTCTCCCAAAAACTACTTTAATTAATTAAACAAATGAATGAACTCCCTACTACACAAAGGGTCCCCACAAATGAGCACGTGCTATAATGCCCCGTGGGCTGGCAATTATATCCCTCCTCCCCAGTGACTAAATCCCAAATAAACCAATAAGTAAATACAAGTGCTTACATGACAAAAGTGCTAAAAATAGCACATATACAATGCCATGAAACTGTGTATACAATGAAATTGTATAAAATATATATATATACATATAGATAGATAGATAGATAGATAGATAGATAGATAGATAGATAGATAGATAGATATAGATATAGATAGATAGATAGATAGATAGATAGATAGATAGATAGATAGATAGATATATATAGATATATATATTTATATATATAGATTGTTATCAATAATTGTGCAAACATATAAAATTGTGCAAAAAAATTAAAGTTGCAAAAAAAACCCCAAAAAAAACCTCATCAGCATTGGGTGTGAAAATTAAGTGATACAGTAGTAAATTGTCTTAACCATAGCAATTCTCTGTGCGAAGTGCTCCAATTAGTGCTCCCCCTCCAGAGCCCCACTGTCAGGAATGGACTCGCCAATGGTGGTGGGACTCACCTGCCTTGTGGGCTGCAGTACCAGGGCTCTCAGCAACCAGAGGCTCACTACTGCAATCAGCCATCACCTGAGGCTGATTGCAGGAGGTGTATTTAAGGAATGGCCAGACCTGCAGTCAGTGCCTTGGTGTACATTTCCCATGAGCCCCTGTATCTTGTTCCTAGTTTCCTGTGCATCTGTTCCTGAGAGAAGTTACCTTGTTGCCGACCCTGCCTGATCCTGATTCCTGTTGACCATCTCCTGCTCTGACTCCTGGCTCGTCCCTGACTATTCTTCTGCCTACTCCTATGCTGTTTGACCTCCTGTTGCTGTACCTTGGCTCATGACCCGTTTACTCTTTGCCTGCTGCTCTGTACTGATCTGCCTCCACCGACCCGGCTTGTCTGACTACGCTACACTCCATACTGTCATCCATCCATCCATCCCGCACAGATCCAGTCACTACTGTCCAAACCTGCCAGCCCCTTCACATCAGGCTTTCCCCCGGTACATACCCTCGGCGGACCCCTCTACCACAGTTGGGTGCACTCAAGGGCCGCGACCTGGTCTCAGTCCTGCGCCAAGTCCATCCCCACCATCAGGGGCTCTGGTGAAAAGGCAGACTGGGGCTTTGACTCCGTACCCTGGGGAATCCTGTTCTGTGGGTCACTAAAGATCCCGCCGGGCGGTGCCTGACGGTACCTTACGGCCTGCCTGACCATTCCATCTCTCCAGCCCTGTCTACGCCTGTGTTCCTGAAGCCTGCTACTTCCCTGTGTCAGTCCACACATTTCTGGTCACACCCGGATCCCTGACACCCACTCACCACAGATAATTGACCACCTGGAATGGTAGGTCAAATATTGCATGAGATGTTGCAGAGTTCTCCTGCAGGAAAGTTGGCCGGATGTGTGTTCTTGACACTTCTATACGCTGATGACAGACTCCATAGTGGAAACACCTCTAGATCAATCGTTTGTGACAAAACTCCTCCAGAACCTCCACAGTACTCCTCCACCACTGTAAAAACATCAAAGGGAAACTTCCATAGCGTAACACCGTATTTATTAGGTAAAAAACATTTAAAATTGCACTTACATAAAAACCATGTGTATGGCACTTTAAATCCCAGCAAAAAAGCAATTCCTTCTCAGAGGACAAGTGTAGCGCTATCAAGCCCCGCTCTACACGTTTCGTCGTATGACATCATCAGGAGCGCTCCTGATGACGCCATACAATGAAACATGTAGAGCGGAGAGGAGGGATATAATTGCCAGCCCACAGGGCATTATAGCACATGCACATTTGTGGGGACCTTTTGTGTAGTAGGGAGTTCATTCATTTATTTGATTATTTAAAGTAGTTTTTGGGAGAGCCAGCGCAGCAATTTTTATGTTTTCACTGATGTTGCTTGTGACATCAACGCGGTTTGCCGAAGGGCATATCTCTCTCAGCTTCGCCAGGACCGATATACTGCTTCTCTGTATGACACTTTATAGCAGTGGCTCCACCCAACCAAACAAGTCGAAGTGTCTTAAAGCAGCACGATTATGAATATGTCTAAAAGGGGACAGGTAGACTGTGGTTTAGGATTAGCCATCTACATAAGACGATAAAATCTATATCCACTGTACTATGTAATCAACCACTTCTAACCTACACACAGGTCCTCTATTGCATTGTCTACAATAATAGACTTTTCTTTCACTTGTAGTTTGAAGAGAAATAGCGTTTTTAATGACTATATTCAAGATACATGACTATATTCAAGATACAGTTCACTAATTTTCAAGAAATACCTGAAGATTTAGTTCCACATTTAAGTGTCTAATTTATATATCCACATTTTTTCACGCTTTAACAGTTCTCTAACAAAGTCTTCTCTTCTCTTTGTGAAATTAAGAGTATAGAGCCCTTTGATTTCTATACATCCAGCTTACTTTCATGGAATTTTTGGAAGCGCTGGGCTAAATTGCTGTCAGGCGCTTTTGTCTCTTTATGTCCCTAAAATGTTCCCCTATTCTAATTTTTAATTGCCTCTTTGTTTTGCCCAAATAATTTTTATTACATGGGCATGTGAACATATACAGTACTCTTGTAGTGGAACAATTAATGAGACTGAATTTTATAGTGGGTACAATATTCTGAGTCAGAGAATGCGTCTGTTCAGTCTACATATTTAAATACATGTCACCTGCCACACTGGAACATCCCTTTTGAACGTGGCAATAGAGAGAGCCAAGTTTGATCTCCAGTCATTTTGTACTTTGAATGAATTAGAAGATCACCGAGATTTGGTGCTCTTCTAGTTACCATTTGTAGGTAGAGGGATGTAGACTAAACAGCTGTGGAGGGGCAGAGGCAGGGGCGGACTGACCATTTGGAAACCCGGGCACTGCCCGAGGGCCCAGGGTCAGTAGGGGGCCCCATGAGATACCCCTAGTACCTTTTTCATAGGCTTTTTTGAGTTTGGGCAAGGACACAGGGGCCCCATGATCCCCTATTGCCCGGGGGCCCCATGAGTTGTCAGTCTGCCCCTGGGCAGAGGACAACACTGTTGAAGGTAGTGCAGGAGACAGTGCTATGAAGGGGGGGCAGAGGACACTACTATAGGAGGGGGGGTTGCAGAGGACAGTGCTATGGATGAGGGGGCAGGGGACACTACTGCGGGGGTAAAAATGCAGAGGACAGTTCTATGGAGGGGGTGCAGAGGACACTACTGTGGGGGGGGGGGGGGACACTGCTATTTGCAGAGGACACTACTGTGGGGGGGGGTTTGCACACTGCTATGGGGGGGTGCAGAGGACACTACTGTGGGGGGGGGGGGGGTTTGCACAGGACACTGCTATGGGGCGGGCAGAGGACACTTATGTGGGGAGGGGTGGAGAGGACACTGCTATGGGGGGGAAGAGGGCACTACAGAGGGATGCAGAGGAACCTGCTTTTTGGGGGGGCACAGGACACTACTGTGTGTGGGGGAGCAGAGGACAATGCTGTGTGTGGGGGTGAAAAGAACATTAGCGTGTGGGAGGGCAGAGGAAACTGCCATGTGTGTGTGAGAGGGCCGAGGACACTACTGTGTGGGGGGTAAGCAGAGGACATTGCTGATTAGAGGGGCAGAAAACACTACAATGGGAGGAGAGAGTACATTACTGGGGGGATGATGTGAAAGAGGGTAGGGGACACCACTGTGCAGGGGGGAGTAATTTGAAGCGGGACAGAAGACACTACTATGACACACTATGTGTTCTTCGTCTTTTTATTGGGAACTTGATATTTTTTTCTTAAAAAAGGGCAATGATGACGCATCCCACCCTAGGGATCTTTAAATTCCTCCATGTTGTCCAGGTAGATCTCAACCTCTGAAAGTTTGCCTACCCCTGACCTAAGGGAAATACTTCCTAGATAGTTGTTAGCAGAAAAAATGTCTTCACTGTAAAGCAGCCCATACACTAGTCAGTTTTTTTCATTTTTCCAGATTTCTCCAAACAATTGACGTGGAGGAGGGAATCCTTCCCACTGACCTATAGAATTCTGACAGCAGAGAGATTCAGCAGTGTATTTAGCATCAGAATACACTGATCGGTGTTGCAGGCTATAACCTGCAGCGACAAATGAATAAAAATGGTGTAGTGCTAATACTCATAAAGCTAATAAACTACAGCTAATAAAATAGAGACAAATAAATATGCATATGTCAAATAAAGTGCTCCTTATGACCATGGAAGATATGTCATAACCATATAGGTGACACTTAAAATAAAATAAAAGGAGCAGGTGAATCACACAGTGCACATCAATTCACATCAATGAACAAAGTAGAGATGACAGTCATTAATGCAAGTGTAGCACTCTCAGTATGTGATAAAATGTGATAAATCAGTCCACTTTGCACACAAGTGAAAAAAACTCTTCATAGACGTGAAGGTGCCATAAGTGCCATGAATCCCAAAGTGGTCTGAGTGCCCCCTCACCTCCTTGAAGTGACCACAAGGGCCAGCAAGCCTTGTAGTAACCACCAAACGATCTCCCAGGGACCACCTTCCTAGTTGGACTGTAATGGATGTTAAGCCAGGGCTACAACCAGACCTTCTCCTGCACTCCACCGTCCTGGCAATACCTCACGTCCCCTTAGGTTCCACTCAGAGACACAAATAGATACGCTCCATAGTGTAATATTGTCACTTTATTGATAATAATTAGTAAAATGCCCACTCACATGTTTGCAGGTATCATAAGCACAAAAATGCTGGCTGTCCTCATAACATGTGGCTTCATGGAGTACCAATATGGTGCTTACGCCGGAAATGACGTCACTGCGTCCCGGAACTGACCAATAGGCGTACCAATAGCCTGCAGCGCTGATCGAGCAGTGAAAATCTGACAGGGCGATTGTACAGAAGTAAATTGGTAGATCAGCTTCTGTACAACCTCACTGCCCATACATGGATTGAAATTTGTCTGGTCCCTGCTGCATTAGACAAAAAAAAAAGGCCTCACAGTTGACAATGCATACTGTATCAGAGCAAAAGCCATAAGGTCAAAAGAACTGCCTGCAGAGCTCAAAGAGAGGAATATTGCAAGGCACAGATGTTGGGAAAGCTACAAAAAATATTCGACTGCACTGAAGGTTTCCAAGAGCACATGCCCTCTATAATTCTCAAATGGATGGAGTTTGGCACAACCAGGACTCTTCCAAGAGCTGGTCACCCAGCTATATAGAGCAATGGGGAAGAAGGGCATTAGTAGAGAGTTGACCAAGAACATGATGATCACCCTGACTGAGCTCCAGAGATCCTGTGTGGAGATGGGACAAAGTTCCAGAGGGACAACCATCACTGCAACCCTCCACTGATCTGAACTTCAAGGCAGAGTGGCTAGACAGAAGCCTCTCCATAGTGCAAAACACATGAAAGCTTGCTTGGAGTTTGCACCTGAAGGACTCTCAGATGGTGAGGAACAATATTATCTGGTCTGATAAGGTCTGGTCTGATAAGGTAATGACGGGTGCATGGCGGTTCTCTCGTTCTGGGAGGATGTCATATGACGTCCTCCCACTCTAACCACGCGTGCGCGGCTCCGGGAGCACGACAGCACGGTGATCGGTGGTGCGCTGTGTTCCTTGGACACAGCAGATCACCGATCAACAGAAAGAGCCGAAGATGTCGGCTCGGTCATGTGATCAGCTGTGTCCAATCACAGCTGATCACATGTAAATAGGGAAATGTCGGTTATCGGCATTTCTCTCCTCACTACCTGTCACGCTGACAGCTCGAGAGGAGAGCCGGTAATCGGCATTCCTCAGAGGGGACATGTAAACTGATCATCAGGGCACTGATGATCAGTGTAGCCCCAGCAGTGCCACCTGTCAGTGTCCATCAATGCCAGCTGTCAGTGCTCATCAGTGCCACCTGCTAGTGCCCATCAGTGCCACATCAATGCCATATATCAGTGCCTACCATTGCACATCAATATTACATATCAGTGCCCATCTGAGCTGCCTTTCAGTGTCACCTATCAGTGCCAGTCAGTGCCATCTATCAGTTCCAGTCAGTGCTGCCTATCAGTGCCCATCAGTGATGCCTATCAGTGCCGCCTAACAGTGCCAGTCAGTGCCACCTAACAGTGCCAGTCAGTGCCGCCTATCAGTGACAGTCAGTGCCGCCTATCAGAGCTTCCTATCAGTACCATATATGAGCAGGGGCGGACTGACCATTTGCAAACTTTGGCACTGCCCGAGGGCCCTGGGGTCAGTAGGGGGCCCCATGAGATGCCCCTGGTACCTTTTTCATAGGCTTTGTTGAGTTTGTGCAAGTACACAGGGGCCCCATGATCCCCTATTGCCCAGGGGCCCCATGAGTTGTCAGTCCGCCCCTGTTTATGAGTGCTGCCTTTCAGTGCCCATCAGTGATGCCTGTCAAAGCCCATCAGTGCCACCTACCAGTGTCTCCTCATCAGTGCCCATCAGTGTCACCTATCAGTGCCCATCAGTGCCGCCTATCAGTGCCCATCAGTGCAGCCTCATTAGCGCACATCAGTGAAGGAGAAAAAATCACTTATTTACAAAGTTTTAAAACAAAAACTAAGAAAAAACTTTTTTTTTTCGAAATTTTCAGTTGTTTTTGGTTTGTTTAGCAAAAAATAAAAAAACTCAGAGGTGCTTAAATACCACCAAAAGAAAGCTCTATCTGTCTCAAAAAAAAATTATAAAAATGTCATATGGGTACAGTGTTGTATTACCACGCAATTGTCATTCAAAGTGCGACAGCGATGAAAGCTGAAAATTGGCCTGGGCAGGAAGGGGGTATAAGTGCCCTGTAGGCTATTGGTTAATGTCCTAGAGTGGCCCAGCCAGAGCCCTGGCCTGAACATCCCTGGAGAGATCTGAAAATGACTGTCCACCAACGGTCCCCATCCAACCTGACTGAGCTTGAGAGGATTTTCAAAGAAGAATGGCAGAAAATCCTCCAATCCAGATGTGCAAAGCTTGTCGTATCATACCCAAAAAGACTCAAGGATTTAATTGCTGTCAAAGGTGCTTCAACAAAGTACCGTATTTTTCGCTCCATAAGACGCACTTTTTTCCCCCAAAAAAAGGGGGCAAAATGTCAGTGCGTCTTATGGAGCGAATATAAAGCGGCCGGTCCGGTATTTCTGCCGCCACCATGTCATTATACCGGGCCGGCCGTTCAGCTGTTCTCTCCTGCAGGGCCTTACCTGTTCCTCGCTCCAGCGCTGCACAGTCTTCCCGCGCTGGCTTCTGTGACAGCCGGGTGCCCACTGCGCATGTGCTGTGCTTTGTGAATGATCCGGTGTCTTCTGGGACACATGACAGGTCCCAGAAGGCGCCGGGTAATTCACAAAGCGCAGCGCTTCTCGCGCATGCGCAGTGGGCACCCGGCTGTCACAGAAGCCGGCCCGGGAAGAAGGAAGGAAGGACAACTCCGCGGGAGCGGTACCTGTCAAATTCAGGTACCCGCTCCCCCTCCCTCCCCAAAGGTCAGCAGTCTCTGGTCATCCCCTGCACTGTCTGCAGTCTCTGGTCATCCCCTGCACTGTCTGCAGTCTCTGGTCATTCCCTGCACTGTCAACAGTCTCTGGTCATCCCCTGCACTGTCTGCAGTCTCTGGTCATCCCCTGCACTGCCTGCAGTCTCTGGTCATCCCCTGCACTGTCTGCAGTCTCTGGTCATCCCCTGCACTGTTGCAGTCTCTGGTCATTCCCTGCACTGTCCTGCACTGGTCATCCCCTGCACTGTCTGCAGTCTCTGGTCATTCCCTGCACTGTCTGCAGTCTCTGGTCATTCCCTGCACTGTCTGCAGTCTCTGGTCATTCCCTGCACTGTCTGCAGTCTCTGGTCATCTCCTGCACTGTGTCCGCAGTCTCTGGTCATCTCCTGCACTGTGTCCGCAATCTCTGGTCATCTCCTGTACTGTGTCCGCAGTCTCTGGTCATCTCCTGTACTATGTTCGCAGTCTCTGGTCATCTCCTGCACTGTGTGCGCAGTCTCCTGTCATCTCCTGCACTGTGTCCGCAGTCTCCTGTCATCTCCTGTACTATGTCCGCAGTCTCTGGTCATCTCCTGTATTGTGTCTGCAGTCTCTGGTCATCCCCTGTACTGTGTCTGCAGTCCATTGGTTCAGAATATTTTTTTTTCTTGTTTTTCGCCTCTAAAACCTAGGTGCGTCTTATGGTCAGGTGCGTTTTATGGAGCGAAAAATACGGTACTGAGTAAAGGGTCTGAATACTTAAGTACATGTGATATTTCTGTTTTTTCTTTTTAATAAATTCACAGACATTTCTAAAATTCAGTTTTATCTTTGTCATTTTGGGGTACTGAGTGTAGATTAATGAGAAAAAATGAGTTTAAACAACTGTAGTATCAGATTGCCAAATCACAATTAAAAAAGTGAAGGGGGTCTGAATACTTTATGAATGAACTGTATATATATCACTTGTATATACAGTATGTGTGTATATATAATATAGTGTGTGTGGTATACATATATACTGTAGCTAGATAGAGGTACAATGCATCTCTTGTCTGTCACTTGTCTTGAGAAAGGTTCCTTTGTGTCCCGAAATGTCAATTAATGTTTACCTTCTGTATCTGAACTATTTGTATCCATTCAACATTTAGATTCTCTTTCGCTGACAATCTGGCTGTGTTTTCTTGTCAGATATGACCATTTGTGTATACGATATGTTATGTGTATGCAAGGCAAATGTGTATATGCATCCAATTGAGTGGGTGTTAGTATTCATCCCATTTATAGTTAATCCTATATTTCATAGTTCATTATAACATATTGTTTATTATTTATATTTGGGTACAGCACATATCTACTTACACATATGCCTTTTTATTATATTGCTTTCACAGATGTTTAGGTCTGGCTGTTTCAAATAGTGAGATCCTGGAACACTCTTTTGATTTTATTTATGATGGTGTGCGTGGGAGAAATGATCACTGAATGAGTTCAGCTGTGAGTGTAGTAAATTCGAGTGTGTTTAGAGGCTGTGAACGCAGAGGAGGTATGTTGCGTCTAAGCACCATCTGGCGTAAAACGCGTCAACAGGTTCTCTTTCTATGTTTTGCTTTAATGCTGTTTTGGATTTTTTTTAAATTACTACAGTAAAGATTTTTTTTTTTAATCTACATCGGTGGTCAATGATCCATCCAGAAAAAAATTATGTATAAAATGTGGAAAAATGCGTGATTTAAAAGCAGGTCTCAAAAAAGTACATGAGCTACTTCGCCGTATTTGTTGTGTGTAGTAATGCGTGTGGTGCAAAACTCACAAAATGTGCAAAAACATGACACGATTTTACACGAGTTCACAAAACCCGACATGTGACTGCAGCCTTAAAATGGTAGTGTGGTAAAGTGGTAAAAGTTGTACCAACAGGCAAGCTTATAATAAGTCTTATCTATAGGTATTGTCAGCACATGCTCCGCCCGACCCTGACCTATGTATTCTCCAATTTACGTTGTTAAGGGGATTAGCTAATCCCCTTGAAATGTACATTGGGGTCAGATCAGGTGGAGCTTGTGCTGATGTCACCTATGCTAGACCGAAGTCGGCACCAGCGGCGTTTGTATTCTGTCACGCTTTTGTATCAAAGATGTCTTGTATGGCTGGATTTTATTAAACACACTGAAGGTACTACACCATTAGAGGCTTTTCTTTTCTTGCCAAACCTGACAGCTAAAGCAGGGAGAAGAGTGGGTTTTACCATCTGTGGTATTTTTTTTCCCCTAAGGCCCCATGCACATACTGCATTTTACTGCTTCCAAATGGCCCTCCATGTTATCCTATGTGTCCATGTACACATACAGTGAGGAACAGAATTATTTGAACACCCTGCGATTTTGCAAGTTCTCCCACTTAGAAATCATGGCGGGGTCTGAAATTCACATTGTAGATGCATTCCCACTGAGAGACAGAATTTAAAAAAAAAAAACAGGAAATCACATTGTTTGATTTTTAAAGAACTTATTTGTCTTGCACTGCTGAACATAAGTATTTGAACACCTAAGAAACAGCAAGAATTCTAGCTCTCAAAGACCTGTTACTGTGCCTTTAAAAAGTCCACCTCTACTCCACTCATTAATCTAACTTAGTAGCACCTCTCTGAGCTCTTTAAAGACACCTGTCCACCCCACAGTCAGTCAGATGCCAACTACTACCATGGGCAAGACCAAAGAGCTGTGAAAAGACACCAGAGACAAAATTGTGGACCTCCACAAGGCTGGAAAGTACTACGGGGCAACTGCCTTGCAGCTTGGTGAAAATAGATCAACTGTTGGAGCAATTGTTAGAAAATGGAAGAGGCTAAAGACGACTGTCAGTCTCCCGCGGACTGGGGCTCTATGCAAGATCTCACCTCGTGGGGTATCACTGATGATAAGAAAGGTGAGGAAGCAGCCCTGAACTACAAGGGAGGAGCTGGTCAATTTCATGAAGAGAGCTGGGAACACAGTTTCAAAGGTCACTGTCGGTAGAACACTACGCCGTTATGGTTTCAAATCATGCATTGCACGGAAGGTTCCCCTGCTCAAGTCATCACATGTCCAGGCTCATCTGAAGTTTGCCAATGACCATCTGGATGATCCAGAGGAGGCATGGGAGAAAGTCATGTGGTCAGATGAGATCAAAGTAGAACTTTTTGGTCTAAACTTCACTCGTGTTTGGAGGAAAAAGTAGGATGAGTTGCATCCCAAGAAAACCATCCCTACTGTGAAGCATGGGGGTGGTAACATCATGCTTTGGGGTGCTTTTCTGAGAAAGGGACAGGACGACTGCACTGTATTAAGGAGAGGATGAATGGGGCCATTTATTGTGAGATTTTGAGCAACAAACCTCCTTCCCTCAGTCAAAGCATTGAAGATGGGTCGTGGCTGGGTCTTCCAACATGACAACGACCCAAAGCAAACAGCCAGGATAACCAAGGAGTGGCTTCGTAAGAAGCATATCAAGGTTCTGGAGTGGCCTAGCCAGTCTCCAGACCTAAATCCAATAGAACATCTTTGGAGGGAGCAGAAACTCCGTGTTGCTCAGCGACAGCCCCGAAACCTGACAGATCTAGAGGAGATCTGTGTGGAGGAGTGGGCCAAAATCCCTGTTGCAGTGTGTGCAAACCTGGTCAAGAACTACAGGAAACGTTTGACCTCTGTAATTGCAA